GTAAATAGTGCTGCTACAAACATGGGGGTACATATATTCTTTCTGATTGGTGTTTCAGGCACCCCTGCATCCCATCAACGTGGGAAGAAGCTTGTGAGTCATTCCTGCTCCTCAGCATCCTTGCCCCTTGGGAAGGTCTCTCCTCCTTGTCCTGTGACCTTGTCTTCAGGTTTAGTGGACAGTACGTGTGTCATTGCTCTGATTTGGGGAATAAAACATGCTTATTGATTGATTCCTCCGTGGCCCATTTCTTGTGTGACCTTAAGCCCCTTGCAGGTGAGAACTGCCCCTTGCAACGTGCAGTTTCTTGAGTCTCTGTGTCCCCACCTGCAGCAGGTTGTCAGTAACCCAGGGCCTTAGAGTGGTTTTGGAGTCCTTGCCCCCGGGGACATGGAGGGAGCCGTCCTTGTTCATTTCCACACCTGCCTAAGACGTGAGGTGAGACATGAGAGGTGTTGTTGAAAATCCACAAAACATGGGATGATTGCTAGACCCACTTAGGAACCCTCACCTGCTCCTCGTCTGAGAAAGGCTCTGTACAGTCTTTCTGAAATAGGTGTGGGGGGCTCGGCGCGGTTATGCCCGCGGTTTCACAGCGTTGACCCTGCGCGACCCTCCACCGCCACTTTAGGTGGTAGAGTTGGGCCTTGCGGGTGGCGGGACGCCGGGAGGGACTGCCACTGGCGCACACCGGCTGCACCATGGTCCAGCTCCCTGCTCTGCTCCACAAGGCCTACCGTGGAGGCCGCTTAACCATCCTTCTTTCCCTGGGTAGTTGCACCAACCGGCCTTTCTACCACATCATGGCGGCTCCCAACAAGTATCCTAGCGATGGCCGTTCTGTGGAGCAGCGAGGCTCCTATGACCCACTGCTCAACAGTCATGGAGAGAAGCTCGTTGCTCTCAACTTGGACCGGATCCGGCACTGGATCGGCTGTGGGGTCCTTCTCTCCAAACTTGTGGAAAAGCTTCTGGATCTTTCTGGCTTTTTCCCTCTGCCTTCCGTGCTGATCACAAATGCTGAGAGGCTGCGACGGAAACGGGCACGTGAAATCCTCTTCGCATCTCAGAAGACAGATGCAAAGGCTGCAGAAACAAAAGCTGAGAGGCTGCGACGGAAACGGGCACGTGAAATCCTCTTCGCATCTCAGAAGACAGATGCAAAGGCTGCAGAAACAAAAGCAAGCTGACTTCAGTGAGCACAGTCGCATGAACCAGAGCTCAAGGGAAGTACCCACCCAGCAGCCCCACCCTACAGGTTGCAAAATTATTCTGGCCATGGAGCTCCATATCGTCTTGTCAGGATCATCTTTGAAAAAGAACAAATCTATTTAATTCTTATTCTTTGGAAAAAACAACATGTATATGAACCGTGTGAACTGCCAAATTTGATGTCATGCTGTTTTTTTTTTTTTTTTTCTAAGAAACAAACAACCTAATATGGACTTGCACGTATTGAAGATTCCGCAATGGGAGAAGATAGGCACCAGATTTCTGGAGTAAGGGGAGGAGCGCATGGGGGAAGGGGCGTGGCTTCTATAAGGCTACTTCTGCTTCCGCTGAGTCAGGTGGCTCCCGTGGTAGGAGAAATCAGGACTTCCGCTCTGCTCCGCTTCCAAGCTCGTCGACGCTAGCCCTTCCAGGCTCCTCTTTGCAGCCGCCGTAAAGTGACTTCGCTTCCAAGCTCTTGGACGCTAGCCCTTCCAGGCTCCTCTGCAGCAGCCGTAAAGTGCGGTGTTGGACGCTAGCCCTTCCAGGCTCCTCTGCAGCAGCCGTAAAGTGCGGTGTCGTGGCCACGCCCCTTTGGGCGCCTCTTGTGATGCCGGCGCCCTGGGCGTTTTGTGCGGGAAATGGAAGCAGTTCGGAACTTAAGTGCCGCCGGTCTCACTGTTTTCGAGGAAGCTGCTGCCAACTCCATACTTTCGCTGGCCATGGGGCTGCTGGAGCAGTGCGAGGAAGTGTTCGGGACCCCTGACATTGACCGGGTGTTGGGTGTGCAGCGAAAGGCCTCGGGTGGCGAGGTGCGACGCGGGTACCACAAGGTGTCCCTGCAAGTGCACCCGGACGGCGTGGGTGAGGACGACAAGGAGGATGCCACCCGCCCCTTCCAGGTCCTCGGGGAAGTCTATTCCGTTCTGAGTGACCAAGAGGCGCCAACCCTAGTCCCCCGCGCGGCCCTGTTTAGTCTCCAACAAGATGAAAGAAATGATCATGAACCAGGAGAAACTCGCCAAACTGCAGGCAAAAGTGCGCTTTGGTGGGAAAGAAACTGCTCATAGAAAGAAGAAGGTGGTTCACAGAACAGCTACAGCAGATGATAAAAAAAAGTTCAGTTCTCCCTAAAGAAGTTAGGGGTAAATAATATTTCTGGTATTGAGGAGGTAAATATGTTCACAAACCAAGGAACAGTGATCTACTTTAACAATCCTAAAGTTCAGGCATCTCTGGCAGTGAACACTTTCGCCATTACAGGCCATGCTGAGACTAAGCAGCTGACAGCAATGCTACCCAGCATCTTAAACCAGCTTGGTGCAGACAGTCTGACTAGTTTAAGGAGACTGGCTGAAGCTCTGCCCAAACAATCTGTGGATGGAAAAGCACCACTTACTACTGGAGAGGATGATGATGACGAAGTTCCAGATCTTGTGGAGAATTTTGATGAGGCTTCCAAGAATGAGGCAAACTGAATTGAGTCAACTTCTGAAGAAGATAATCTTGAAGAAGTTACTGGGAACTGCTATTTTATATTATGACTGCTTTTTTTCAAATTTTGTTTATGGATCTGATAAAATCTAGATCTCTAATATTTTTTAGCCCAACCCTGCTGGACATTGAAGCTTTTTTCAGTTTTTGCTTATACATAAATCATTCTTTGCAACTAATTAAGCTGAAGAGGCCTGGGGTTAAAGTTTGAAACAGGTTATAAAGTTCTTTGCCTAGTAAACAAAATCCGCCATCGTGGTGCGTGCGGTTGATTCTCTTTCGCCATGTCTTCTCATAAGACTTTCAGGATCAAGAGGTTCCTGGCCAAGAAACAAAAGCAGAATAGGCCCATTCCCCAATGGATTTGGATGAAAACTGGTAATAAAATCAGGTACATCTCCAAGAGGAGACATTGGAGAACCATACTGGGTCTATAAGGAATCACACATGAGAGATGGCTGACACATTTATGCTGTATCTAGCTTGTCTGCATCTTACCATAATCACTGAAATTATCACTACTGTCTTGACAGTTGGGCATTTTAATTGGGAAATTTTTGGAGGCATGATTTTTTTTTCCTGCAGTAGATTGGTTCAGTAATAAATGTGAGACCTTTTAAACTGCAAAAAAAAAAAAAAATCTCTAGAAGACATTCAAGCTTTTGAAAAGACATACAAAGGTTCTGAAAAAGAGCTGGCTGATACTAACCAGGCCTATATGAACTTTAAAGGGGACATGAATCAGATGCTGGAGTGTGTGCTGTGTGTGCAGTACACAGAGGAACCCAGGATAAGGAACATTATTCAGCAAGCCATTGATGCTGGAGCGGTCCCATCCTATAATATCTTTGTCAAAGAATCGAAGTAAAAGATGAATGCAAGGACAAGGAGGGCTCAGGAAGAGGCTAAAGAAGCAGAATTGAGCAGGAAGGAGTTGGGGCTTGAAGAAGATAACTTGAAAGCACTCATTCAAAGCAGGCAAAAGGATTGGCCAAAGGAAATGGACAACTTTTCTGGCTCAGATGGAAGCAAAATACTGCAAATCTTCCAAACGAGGAGGGAAAAAACAGCTCTCAAGAAAGAAAATAAATAATGGAATTTTCTTTTCAAAAATCCTTAGGTGTTAATTGATGCCATTGTAGAAAAGGTACAGTCAAGATTTGAAGACAGAAGTCAATTCAACCCTTAAGTTGTTTTTTTCCACCTAAATGATTCAGATTAAGCATGTAGATCAGAATATTTCAGTCTGATCTTAGGTATCTGTGAAGTCCTATGAAGGAATTTGGTGGTGGTTGTTGAGGGGAGAGGAAGGGGAAGGTTGGTATACTTCTGACAGCACTTGCTTCTGTGGATCTTCTGTACAAAGAACTTTATCTAGAATTTGGGTCTGTCCATACTTCCTTTACCAGCTGTCATTTTGCCACACAAAAGTGAGCTGCAGAGTATTCTGAGTGATGCACATGTTTATTAGAATAGGTACTCCACCTAGCTAGAATGCCTTCAGAACACTAGCTGGAAATCTGTCTTCCAAATACTTGACAGTTTGCTTTCTGTCATATTCCTGAATAGATCCGCTCCTTTTGGTGTGTTTTGAAAACCATGTTTTGTATTCTTTGCTTCAAGTATAGGAGAAACAGGTGGTCCCGAGTAGGTGGTAGACCAGTTGGCCCTACGTAGGTGGTAGACCAGTTGGCCCTACGTAGGTGGTAGACCAGTTGGCCCTACGTAGGTGGTAGACCAGTTGGCCCTACGTAGGTGGTAGACCAGTTGGCCCTACCTAGTTGGTAGACCAGTTGGCCCTACGTAGGTGGTAGACCAGTTGGTCCTACGTAGGTGGTAGACCAGTTGGCCCTACGTAGGTGGTAGACCAGTTGGTCCTACGTAGGTGGTAGACCAGTTGGCCCTACCTAATTGGTAGACCAGTTGGCCCTACGTAGGTGGTAGACCAGTTGGCCCTACCTAGTTGGTAGACCAGTTGGCCCTACCTAGTTGGTAGACCAGTTGGCCCTACCTAGGTGGTAGACCAGTTGGCCCTACGTAGGTGGTAGACCAGTTGGCCCTACGTAGGTGGTAGACCAGTTGGCCGTACCTAGTTGGTAGACCAGTTGGCCCTACGTAGGTGGTAGACCAGTTGGCCCTACCTAGGTGGTAGACCAGTTGGCCCTACGTAGGTGGTAGACCAGTTGGCCCTACGTAGGTGGTAGACCAGTTGGCCCTACCTAGTTGGTAGACCAGTTGGCCCTACCTAGTTGGTAGACCAGTTGGCCCTACGTAGGTGGTAGACCAGTTGGCCCTACCTAGTTGGTAGACCAGTTGGTCCCGAGTAGTTGGTAGACCAGTTGGTCCCGAGTAGTTGTTAGACCAGTTGGTCCTACCTAGGTGGTAGACTAATTGGTCCTCCAACTGTCACTTGCCTCACTTAACCCTGCAGGCCTACTCCATTGTGGGGTGAATCCTCAGAGCTCTGAAGTCCCTGGGTTCACCCACAATCTATCCGCTGTTCCCAGACCCTGGGACACAGCCTGTCCTTAGTGTCGGGGGCATGAGGGAATCAGAAGCATCCAGGGTGATCTGTGCTCCCTCTGAGCAAACATGCTCCATGACTCACCAGCTGTGGAGATGGGCCCTGTGGGTGGGGGGCTGGGGGAACAGAGGGTCCTGAGAAGGAGGACAGAAGAGGGTGAGAGTCTGGGGCTGACCCTGGTGCCCCACCTCACTCAGACACCTCCATCTGCTCAGAGCACCCTGGAGTCCCTCCCATGGCCCACGTGGCATCTTCTCCACCGAGGTGAGAGGAAGGGGTACACATGGGTAGGAGGGTCTCTGAGGGGCAGATGTCCTCTGGGTGACCACCCCTACAGGCCTCCCTCCCTCCCTTTCAGCTCATCTTTCTTCTGGGCACAGGACCCTGAGCCGACAGCACAGAAATACAGGGCCAGGGGCCCCTCACCTGAGACCCGCAGCTCCAGGGGCTCACTGGGCTGTGACAGCAGGTAGGGGGCGGCGCTGAGTGAGCTGTAGCACCTGTAGGTGCCCCCGTGGGTGGAGGTCACAGGACTCATGGAGAACTCTGCCTGGTACTGCTGAGCTCGGTGCTCTGATGGAAGACGCAGAGGGGATCGGCTGCCCCCTCCTTGGACAGAAGGAAAGTGTCCTTTGGGTACTGTAATTGACACAGCAGGGTCACATTTTCTCCTGAGGTCACCGTGGTGCCCGGCTGCACCGAGTAGGAGGGTCTGTCAATTGTCCATCCTAGAGAGAGGATGGGTGGGTGAGGGGCTGCCTGCCCACCTTGCTCTGACCTGAGAGTCCCAGGCCTCTCCCCTAGGACCCTCCTCTCTCTGTCTCCATTCTCTCTGAGTCTTCCCTCTCCGCTCACACCCCTGTCTCTCTGACTCTCCCTCCCTAGGCCCTGCACTTTCATTCTGGCCATGACCACCTGCGACCCCCCAGCCTGTGCACAGTCTGGTCCCGGAATGAACCCCTGACTCCTCACCTGCCACTAGGATGTCCAGGGGGTCACTGGGAGCCGACCACTTGGAGGAGAGGTTGTGTCCACCGTAGTATCTGTACCGTCCCCCGTCTGAGCTGCGCACAGGGTCCAGGGGGAAGTTGGCCTGAGAGAGCCCAGCCTGGGGTTGCAGGACAAGGCTCTGTGTGGGGTCCAGCTCCTCCTCCTTGGACAGAGCGAATCTGTCATAGCCGACATCAGAGCGACACTGGAGGGTCAGGCTCTGTCCAGAGGCCACGATGGGGTCCTGCTGGGCCAGGAGGGAGGGCGTCCCAGACACACCTGAGAGACCAGACGTGAGTATAGGGGCAGCTCATCCCATAACCCCTTCTCCAGGCCTGGCCCGGGTCTCACTGTCTCTGTGTCTCTGCCCCAGGGGCCCCTGTGCTCCCCTGACCCCACCTCTCACTGAGGGCTCCCCTCCCAGCAAAGATGCCAACAACCTGTCCAGCAACTCAATCCATGGAAGTGATAAAAATGGGACTCACCTGGGACCAGGAGCTCCAGGGGGTCACTGGGGTGTGAACACAGCTGGGGGCTGTTCCTGTAACAGCCATAGCATCTGAACGTCCACCTGTGGCTGGGGTCACGGGCCCCACAGGGAACAGGGCCTGGTACTGCCCTGTGGTGTGTGGTTGTGAGTCCAGGGTCCAGCAGAGCCTGTGTTCTCCATCCTTAGTCAGGATGAACCTGTCAAATCCCAGCCATGAGCCACACTGGAGGGTCACGTTCCCTCCTGAGGTCACAACAGGGCTGGGAAGGACTGAGGCTGGGTCTGCTGTACGATCCTAGGAGGGGAGGAGACAGCATGTTAAATGGGGTCACACCTCCCTCGTGTCCCCCAGGGCTGGGCTGTTAGAGGGCAGAGGCCCTGAGAGCAGCCCCTTCCTGAGGGCAGAGCCTGAGGCTGGGACCCCTGAGTGTCCCCTCACCTGTCACCACCAGCTCCAGGGGGTCACTGTGCTCTGACTCGCCAGAGGGGCTGCGATAGTAACAGCGATATCTCCCTGCATCATGGTCTGTCGTCCGTGTGATGGAGAACGTGGCCTTGTCTCCGGGGTTCGGTGGCTTCTGTGTTTTCCATGGTGGTGTGTTTCCCTCTTTATCCAGACGGTACTCCTCATCCCCCAGAGTCCCCTGACATGTGATGTTCACGGGGCTCCCCCAGGGGATCAGAGATCCTGGCTCAGCCTGGAGGGTAGGATTGGGGAGGGTCCCTGGAAGGAATCAGAGGCTGGGTCCTAAGACATTCCCACCCCAGTCCCCAGCTCCCCATCCCCGATGTCCCTCGTCTGTCAGACAGGTCTGCTCTCCTCCTTCCCCACCTCCCTGGGGGTGTCCCTGTGTCCAGAGGCAGTGAGACCTGGGGACAGACTCACCTGCCTGCTCTCTGGTCCTCAGACCCACGCTCAGCCCTGGAAGAGAGTCCCTGTGAGTGGTTCGCCCTGACCCTTGACAAGAACCCTCCTTCCTGTGAGCCTGCTGAGATTCAGGAACTTCTGACAGAGCAGGGCTTCCTCTCCCCCTGTCACATCTCACCCAGGTAGAGAAGGGCGGTGAGTGTGGGGGTCATGACGTCCTGTCCCTCTGGGGTCAGCTGAGCAGATGGAAGCGACCACGGTGCCAGAAAGATGGACAAACAGATATGCAGGACGGAGAGACAGATGACAGGTTGTGGTCCCTTGGAGTCCAAGCCTGCTGGTCACCAGGATGTCACATCTGCAGCCTATAGGGGAGCCTCTTTCTAGCAGCCTGACTCACTTTCATCACGAAGCAGGTAACAGGTGAGGTGACCCAGGGTACATCCTTCCCTGTCAGAGCGTCCCCCGTGGGGTCTCCATCATCCTCAGCCCATCCCTCAGCACCTCCCTGGGGTCCTCACCTCGGACGTTGTCAGGCCCTGGAGATGCTTCAGGAAGACGTGGGTTCCTGTGGGGCTCAGATCAGCAGAGACACGTTCACCCTGTAACTGAGCAGGGCAGGCGCGTGTCCCTGTGGCAATGAGCACAGAGGAGAAATGCAGGGAAATAAGGGAAGGAGACACATCCCTCTGTGGCTCCAGGGGCTGGGCTTTCTATCTCATGTGTTTTCATGAACTTCTCCTTTTCCTTAGCGACAACCTCCAGCCCCTCCCCCCTGGGCACGAGCCTCTGGGACCTGATCCTTTGTTTAAATATATGTGTACCACCTCCTGCCTGTGTGAAATGAGCAGTAATATCTCCATTGGATGCCCCCTCCTCTTTATTATTATTATTATTATTTACAAGAGAACACATTCACCATTATTTACTTACTTTTCAATATGTTTCAATCTTCTGAGGGGTATGCATTACACAGATTCTGAGTGTAATGGCTTTAGCAGGAAGGGACAGATGGACCCCAGGGTGTGGTCACTCAAGGGCTGGCCCTCCCTGTCCCTGGGTTATCATGTCACCAACCCCTGGGGAAGGGGAACATTCCATCCCTAGAAGCCTAGCACCTGTTCCTGGTTGATCAGGAAATAGATTGGAGCCTCCTGAGATGCCCCTTGCAGGTGAGGGGACCCAGGGCACATCCTTCCCTATCAGAGCCTCCCACGTGGGGTCCTCCTTTATCTTCACGTCGTCCATCAGCATCTCCCTGTGGGGGCCTCACCATGGACAGTGGTCACCGGGTCTTGTGGATGCTTCAGGAAGACGTGGGTTCCTGTAGTCTGCAGAGCTCAGATCCACAGAGACATGTTCACCATCAACTATGCCGTTCCGGTGAGTATCACTGTGACAATGAGCACAGAGGACAAATGCAGGAAAATGAGGCAAGAGAAATGGGTTCTTCTCCTGGCTCCAGAGTGTGGGTCCTCGTTCCCTCTCAGCCCCCGGTGAGCTTCCCTTTCTGACCACAGCACCCATCGCATCAGCGCGGGAAGAAACCTGTGAGTCATTCCTGCCCCTCAGCACCCTTGCCCCTTGGGAAGGTCTCTCCTCCTTGTCCTGTGACCTTGTCTTCAGCTTTAGTGGACAGTACGTGTGTCATTGCTCTGATTTGGGGAATAAAACATGCTTATGGGATGAATCCTTCGTGGCCCATTTCTGGTGTGACCTTAAGCATCAACGTGCAGTTTCCTGAGTCTCCGTGTCCCCACCTGCAGCAGGTTGTCAGGAACCCAGAGCCTTAGAGTGGTTGTGGAGTCCTCGCCCCCGGGACATGGAGGGAGCCCTCCTTGTTCATTTCCACACCTGCCTAAGGCGCGTGAGGTGAGGCATGAGAGGTGTTGTTGAAAATTCATAAAACATGGATGATGCTAGACCCACTTAGGAACCTTCACCTGCTCCTCATCTGAGAAAGGCTCTGTACAGTATTTCTGAAATATGGGGCCATGCTCAATGCACAAAAAGGAAGTGAAATTCCCCCGAATGGAGAGAGAACATGTACAGACAGGGGAGGTCAGAGTTGAGTGGCCACTGGTGCCTGGGCATAGCGAAGATCATCAGTGTGGAGTTTTCTCTGTCTGTGGGGACAGAAGAGGGACCCTGATGTCATCACAGGCAGGGAGGGGATCAGGAGCAGGAAGTTATAGAACTGACTATTGCACCTTGAAAATCTGAGATTCAGAAGCAAGAAGAGTTCTCCTGTCCTAGATCAACTGTATAATATGCTTCTTGAACACAAAGGAGATTTTCGGTGTGTGTCAGAACTACCTGTGGGCATGGGAACATAAAAGGTTGGAGATTCCTGCAAATGTGCAGTCGTAGTGAAGACACGATGCTATGGAAGGCTGTGCACAGAGTCACGGTGGGAGTCATTATGTCCAACAAAACAGACCTCTAGAAACACGTGGAAGTCATTTTAATGGAAGAACATTCAAATGTCTGATAACATAAGAAAATTTGAATTCTTGCACAACAACAATCGGGGTTATATGAAAAAAGAACGTGACATTTTAGTAATGAATTGTGCAAATATCTTAGGGGTAAAAATGCCCCAAACGAAAATAATTTGATTTAGCACACACAAAATATTCTTTCCATCAGGGAGCAGATACAGATGAAGATACAATTATGAAATTGGAAGACAACGTTGGGGAAATTTTGTAGAATGCAATACAGAGAGTCTAGAATGAGAAAATTAAGACCCAGGGGAATCGAGAGAGAGAGAGGCCAAAGGGTAGTGTGAGATTCAGGAGGAAAGCAGTGAGGATGATGTCTGCTACAGTCCTAGAGGTCTATGGTTGGGTATTTTACAGTGAAGTGTAGGGAACATGCAGCGCCAGGGTGCATGAATGTATACATGAAATGTGTGTCTTGATATTCATGACAAGAGGTGAAAATTGATGGGAAGTCACATTCAAGCAGAAATATAATGTCAAAAGTTAAGGGGGAAGTCCATTCAAATACGGAATTGTAAATGAAGAATTCTAAACTCATCCACATTTTTATTAAAAGGCTATAGTGAAAGAGTCTGAGGGGAGAAGTCTGTTAGAATGAGAAGATGGGGGCCCATCTGACATCCAAAAACTCATGTCTCATGTGTGAAATTCACACACCAGGTTCCATCTTTAGGAGAATGAGGAGGGTTTTGGTGGTCAATCCTTAGCTTCAGAGAATTTCTACTTCTTTGTATTGGAATTATATTGTCTATTAGATATAAGAAAAATTTCCAGTATCTAATTGGAAATAAATCATTTGCAGACATACATGGTCTCAAATATTTTATTGTTTACACACTCACTAAAAGCACACGAAAATAGTAATTAACCCAACAATATTATAGAGAAAAAGTAGAGACAGTGAGTTGCATAAGTGAGAAAAGTAACGGCAAAACAAATAAACTTAGGAAAAGTATATTTGTGCATGAGATTTTCAAATTAGTCCCAAGGAGTTCAGCTAATGTGTAATGACCTTTTCTTACCTAAGGAAGATAATACAAAATGGTTCAGAATTTTAAATATAAATACCAATACTCACAATGTTGTTACTAGGCAAATTTGAAATGCATATATAACCTCCAAATTGTTTGATGAAATTATATTAAACAAATAAATCTCAATCAGTTCGAAGCAGGCTGGAAAATTTAAAAGGAACTATTTGTTTTTATTTTTATTTTTATTAATTTATGTTTGTTTCGAATGTTTCTCCCTTTTTTCCCCATTGACACCCTCCTCGCCAGCCCCCCCACCCCATACCCGGCTTTGTTGTCTGTGTCCATCGGTTCGGCGTACATGCATATAAGTTCTGTGGTTTATCTCTTCCCTCTCCCCACCACCCCTTCTTCTGAGCGTTGTCAGTCTGTACCTTACTTCCATGTCTCTGGGTCTACCCAATTCCTCAGACTGTTATGTTCATTATATTCCATAAATAAGTGAGATCATGTGATACTTGTCTTTCTCTGTTTGGCTTGTTTTGCTTAGGAGAATACTTTCCAGGTCCCTCTATATCATCTCAAAGGATAATAGATCTTTCTTTCTTACAGCTGCATAGTACTCCATTGTGTACATGTACCACGGCTTTTTTATCCATTTGTCTACTGATGGACATTTGGGCTGTTTCCAGATCTTAGCAATTGTAAATAGTGCTGCTACAAACATGGGGGTACATATATTCTTTCTGATTGGTGTTTCAGGCTTCTTAGGGTATATTCCTAGAAGTGGGATCACTGGATCAAATGGCAGTTCAATGAAAAAGGAACTATTTAAAATGAAACGTATGACTTCATCAAACACAGCCCGCAGGCCTATTGCCAAGGGCGTCCGAAGGACTGTGGCTGTCACAGGTGCTGAAGCCCAGATGGCGCTCAGGAAAGCAGAGAGCTTGAAGAAACCTCTCTCAGTCATGGAGAGCAAAGTGAAGGCCCACTCTGTACCAAACAAGGACGTGCGGAGGCAGATTGCTGACCTCAGTGCGGCCCTGGCCACTGCTGTTGTCCCCCAGGGTCAGAGGGATGAATTCGGGGAGAATCTTAAATCTCTGAAGAAGATCTTCGATGACCCAGACCGGGCTAGCAAAGCTGATGTCCAGAAGCGAGTGTTGGAGAAGACAAAGCAACTCATTGACAGCAAGCCCACCCCGCCCTTCATCATCTGGAGATGGAGAGCGGCATGTCAGCCGAGGCCCTGAGGGAGGACTTGAAGCTCTTCAAGACGCATTCCCCGCAGACCTCGGCCTGCTCTTCACAGTGGACCATGAGGCTGGCAAGCTCACGTGCTTGTGTCATGTCCCCCAGAATGCAGCCGCCCGGGGCC